GCCCTCATATGTGGGATCCGAACCGGGGCCCTCTGGCATCCCAAGCGAGTTCTTAACCATCGCGCCACTCGGCCGGCCCTGTTAGCTATATTTTTAAAGAAGTCTTTTTTAAAATAAATAAAATCATCTGGGTAACTTTTAAAAAATCCCAGTGTCCGAGCTGCACCTCACAGCATTTAGATCAGTCTCTGAGAACAGAATCAGGCATCAGTAGTGATTAAACTCCCAGTGATTCCAAAGTACAACTAAGCCTGAGAGCCAATTACCTAATAATGTTTAGCCAATTGTGTACTTATTACATGATGAGGACAAGGACTTTATGAAGTTTGAGAGCCACCGTTTATAATCTAAATATTCTCTGAATACCTTGGGGCCCTGTCAGAAGACATAGATGTGCTGTGGTGTGGAATGGAACTTAATGATAGAGATGGTGATAAATATGGAAAACTGAACACCCACATCCTCATGTCTACCTGTCCCGTGGTTATCATTTCTATGTGGAGGATGGGACAGCTCCATATCCTCCCAGCATTCATCTAAAAAGGGGGATGATGATTGTGCCGGCTGAGTGGTGCGTTGGTTAAGAGCTGGCTTGGGACGCCAGCTCTGAGCAGCAGGGCCCCAAATTGGATCCCACATGGGGGCCAGTGACACTGCCCTCTACAGCTAAGATGGTGAACAACAGCTCAACCTGGAGCTGGGCTGCCTGTGAGTCGCCAGCAACGGCTTAGGCTGCAGTGAAGCTGCAGTGGGCTGCTATAAGCTACCATGTGTGGCTGGCAGCCAGCATGAGCGGCTGGCAGCTGGTGTGAGCTGCCAAGAGCTGCCGTAAGCGGCCATCCAGAGGCCAGCGACCGATCTGCCTCATGCAGGAATAGCGCAAAGATAATACCAACATGGGCCAGTGAAGCAACGTCCTCCACAACTAAACTGAAGAACAAAACGACAGCAACTTGTCTGTTCCCCTTCCCCTGATTCCCTAATAAAATCTTTAAAAATAATAATAATTAAAATAAATAAATAAATAAAAAGGGGGATGATAATAATAGAACATGACATAATAGTATCATGACAGTCCTAATAGGCAGGTCCCAACATTAGCATCCTTTCATATTCCTTTTATTATGAGAACAAAAGAAACTTACTCAACTGAATTCTACCTTGAGACCACTTAATGGGGGCCGGGGACACAGAATATTTCAATTCCAAGCAAGATGGTTGGATGTAAAGGAAATGTGCCTGTGCTGTGCAAAGGTGACAGATAATAACCCAGGTCTCTTCTCCGCCCTGCTGAGGACTGCTGTACATCACTGACAGTCTATCACTGTGAGCAGTGCCTGCTTTGCATGACTTCAGGCTCGGCTCAGGGGATGGAGAAAAACTGCATCTCCTCTCTTGCTCTTGATTTTGCAGGTGGTAAATGTCACTGGCAACCAAGACATCTGCTACTACAACTTCCTCTGTGCTCACCCCTTTGGCGTCCTAAGGTAAGCCCAATTCTCGGGTTGCCCATGAGGCATTGAGAGATGCCTTTCTGTATAATGTTGTGATTTCAGTTTTTGAACATACTAAAAACATCTATGGAAAACTACTCCAGTCAAGGATAAAGAGGAATGAAATCAAGACGTTGAGATCAAGTATGCTTCTCTCATTCCTGTATGAGGCCTCAGGAAACATTTGTTAAGAATAATCTGCTGAGGAGAGGGCAGGGATTTTTACATCATCAGGTCTCTGGCTGTGATGACACTCATCCATGGGCATGAGCTGTAGGACATTCAATCCATTAAACAATCTCATGAGAAAGGTAGTATTATTATTGTTATCCCCCATTTTAGATGAAGATGCTAAGGCTGATGACAGTAAGGACTAGCTGAAGGTCCCTCAGCTGTTAATGATGTAGGAACATGAACCCTACACACTTGCTGCCTCAAAGGCCATGCTGTAGCCACCAGACCATGAAGTGGAAAGAGCATTTGCCTGGGGGTTGGGATCCTGGATTCTTGTTACAGAACTGAGCAACCCTCAGTTTCCTGAACTAAAGCCAGTGGCTATGACCAGCTGACACTTATCCTGAAATTCACAGTTACAGAGCTGAGTATTGACACATGACGTGGGTCCATTTATGAGAATTCCCTCTCACAGGATAGCTGAAACACTTGTCCAAACTGCCCATCTTTGGAGCGGCTCTCTCTCCCAGGATTCATTCCATGCCGGTGCCATTGGGACCAGAGAGGGTTGGGAAGTTGTTAGGGAAGAGGAGTGGACACCCCTGAGAGGAAACAGACACATTTCACAGGCTAAGCACCCTACAGTGAAAGGTTAGAGAGGATCTCGAATGATTTTCCAGTCCTGAAATCTTATGAAAAAGTTAGCAGTGGAAACATGGAATCCTGCTAATTCGAATGCTGTGTATTCATTCTCTGACTCTCGTTGATTGCCTGACTCTCATGGTTTCTCTCTCCTCCCTTTAGTGCCTTCAACAACATTCTCAGTAACCTTGGCCACGTGCTCCTGGGTTTCCTCTTCCTGCTGATAGTCTTGCGCCGGGACATTCTCCATCGAAGAGCCCTGGAAGCCAAGGACATCTTTGCCATGGTGAGAAGAGGGTGGGTAAATATGAAGTGGGAGATAGGAAGGGTTATGATTCCAAAGAGGATCTGCAAAGGGGAGGGACATCTGGCTTGATGGTGTGATGATAGATTATGATATTTGAGACCGGAAGCTTGGGCTTCCACATCCTGTGGCTATGTCACTCACAGGTGTCTTTCTATTGAACATGCTTTCTACTTTTTTCAGGAGTATGGGATTCCCAAACACTTTGGTCTCTTCTATGCTATGGGCATCGCATTGATGATGGAAGGAGTGCTCAGTGCTTGTTACCACGTCTGCCCTAATTACTCCAACTTCCAATTTGGTAATTAGCGTTTATATCAACTACACAGATTTGAGTTATAGAAGTCTTATCCTGGGACCCTTCCAAAAATGCCAAGGTCACACTTGCAAAAATAGATAACATTTTACGTGAGCTGAAGTGATCTGAGGGCACCTCACCACAGGGCATGGTTTCCTCATATTGTACCATTTTTCCTCTCTGACCACCTTTTAGACTAGAAAACTCTCAACACTGGATGATGATCTATGGCTAGATCTGCAGATGGGCCATGGGCTAAGCATTAAGCAGGACGTCGGATAGCATTCACTAATATACGTCTGGAAAGGTCCTTCAGAGTAACTTGGCCTAATTGAGCTGTTAGACTGCTTTGGAATGAAAGTAATAGAAGAGCCAATTTGAATTGGATTAAATAATAACATTTATCAGCTCACCAACTGAAACTCCAGAGGTGGAAAGGGCTTGTGGTTGGTTTATCTGGTGGCTCTCACGCCACTTCTCATATCCCTTTGGTTCTGTACAGCCTGCATGTTGCTTTTATCCTCAGGCTATCAGGGAACTTATGGTGGCAAATAGAGCTACAGCAGGTTCTGGCGTCCTATCTCAGCCCATGATGTCTGGACGACACAGCAAGCTGGCTTCCAACAGCCTTCGTTTAATAGCAGGGAAACTTCTTCTCCAGCCCCACCCCCATGAGCCCCTTCCAGAATCATTGCCTGTGTGCTGGTTAGCTCAGGACTGGGTTGCTACACCAGTCACCGTGGCAAACGAGATGGGATTACATTTCGACAAATGAGAAGCATCCCTGAAACCAGGGCTGGGGCTAGACTTCCTAAAGCAAATCGGCAGGAAGGCTGTGCATTTCTGAACTGAAAACAGGGCTAAGACATTGGAGTTAGTACCAAGATGCTGTCAGGAATAAGGAAGGAAAGAGCTGATGCTCGTAGTAGGCAATTTATAGTGTCCTCCACACTTAAGTATAGGGATTTTTTAAATAGTCTTTTTCATGTTTGTGCTCTAGCCTCTGCCTGTTAACCCGGAACACCACAGAAATTTTAATATTTTTAAATTAGAAAACATTTTTAACAGAGAAGATGATAGAGAACAATATTATTCACCACTGAGAATGAACAAATGCCAGTATTTGAAAATATTTGCCTTAAATCTACTTTTTAAGAAATAAAACATTGTGTAAAATTGAGGTGCTATTTTGAACTGCTTTCCAAATTTATTCCCCTCTTTCCTTCCCCAGAGGCAATAACTATAATTAATTTGGTATTTATCCTTCTAGGTTGTTTTTATAGTCGACTATATGTATTGTAAGTTAATATTAATTTATCACACTTTGTTCTGCAGCCTTCTTTTTCATCTAACAATATGTTTTCAAGATTATCAATATTGAATCAAGGACAGCTAGTTCATTCATTTTTAAGGATTGTCATAGTCTATACAAAAAATATCACATTTATCAATACCTCTATTGAACAACAGTTAGATGTTGCCAATATTTTGCTATTACAAACAGTGCGGCAGTGAATATCCTTATGTATGGCTCTGTGTACGTGTAAGAGAGTCCCTGGGATGCCTAGAAGTGGAATTTGGGGGTCACCTGCAATGGAAGACATGCATCTTCCATTTTACCAAAAACTGACAAGTTTCTCTTCAAAGTATTAATTTCCACTCCCACTAGCTGTGTGCGAGTTCCCATTTCCCCACATGGTCACTAGCGTCAGATATTTAAATTCTTCATTACAATTTTCAGTAACATGGGGCATTATATTGTTGCTTTCATTTGCATTTCCATAGCTCTCATGCAGCTCAGCCTCATTCATTTTCTAGCCCTAGAAATTCTCCATCCCTAGGCTATAAAGCTATTATTATATAGGAGCGGTAATAAATGTGGTTATATTTCAGGATGCTGAGAAGGGCCTCCTACACCCACCTATGATTCATTTTATTGTCACACTGCCTTAACTGTCACCATTAGGGCTTCCTTTGTCATTGTTGTTGAACACCAGTGTTTAAACGCAAATACCCTTGCAAGGGGTGACAGTCAATTATTTATCTTATCATCAGAGGCTTTTCTTTTGTGAACTAAGAACAGCCTTGGAGGGGTTCAGAGTGGCATGTGTGGGGTCTGCCTAGAGAAGGTGCCTAGGGAGGCAGGCATGTTGGAGGTCTCCACGAGTCTGAGGGCACAAATACTCCAAGGCCAGAAGGGAAGGGGTTTTCCAAGGCTGAAGAGAAATCTGCCTGTCGCCCACTGGGCCCTGATTGTCTCGTTCCTCCTCTGCGCCCTCAGACACCTCCTTCATGTACATGATCGCCGGCCTCTGCATGCTGAAGCTCTATCAGACCCGCCACCCCGACATCAACGCCAGCGCCTACGCTGCCTACGCCTCCTTCGCCGCAGTCATCACACTCACGGTCCTCGGAGTGGTGCGTGCCTCCCCACAGCCGTCAGCCCCAACCCGCCTTTCACAAAGTTTCCTCTTAGGGACTCTTTTGTTGTTCGTTTCGTTTTTTGTTGTTGTTGTTGTTTTGGTTTTTTTTGGAACTCAGGTGAACATAATTGAACTAATCACAGTCCTTGGTTCAGGACACATTCTCATCATTGATCCATTCATAGCATTTTATTTAACTAGCATTTAGCTAGTTACTTTTAATAATGTGATTGGCGCCTGTAGAACTATCCCTGGAGAGTTTTAATACAAAGCTGGGGCTTGGGCTGGCCAAGTGGCTCAGTTGGTTAAGAGCTGGCTCTAGAGTGCGAGCTCTAAGCAACAGCGGTTGGATTCCCGGCCTGAGATGAGCTGCCGCTGAGCTGCCAACAGGTGGCAGGATGGCTCAGCCAAAAAAATAAAAAATAAATTAAAAAAATAAAGCTGGGGCTTCACTCACGTGAGATTGGAACAGCGATGTACAAGACTGGAGAGCCTGGCTTAAAAGAACAGAAACTACTTTCTAAGTGTACACAGATAAAAAGTGTTAGTTGTCTTCAGTTATTTAAAGAGCATTAGCCCCCAACTTTAGACCTATTGTCCTTTAACTGTTGTTATTCAACTGCCTTACCTGTGTCTTCCCTTTTCTGTTTTCATTGGGCCAGGTGACATCATTCTTTTTCCTACCCTGGGTGTAGTAAGATCCCTGTTAGCTCCGAGAAAGAGGGAGAAAAACAAAATGCATGCACAGCATAGTTTTTGATTCCTTATGGAGGAATGAGAGACAGATGATTTTTGTGAGTTCTCTGGGAAGAACCCCAGATGAAGATAACTTCCATCTTTACTCCTAGGTGTTCGGAAAAAACGACGTGTGGTTCTGGGTCATCTTCTCTGTGATTCATATTCTGGCCTCTCTGGCCCTCAGCACCCAGATCTACTACATGGGTCGTTTCAAGATAGGTGAGTCACCTGTTAATCTCTACTAAACAAACTGATTAATTTACCTACGAAAGCATTGTCTTCACTGATCTTAACAGAAGTTTTACTGCTCATTGTGAACACACATCCTGAATTCTATGTTGTGTTAATAGCATATATTATCTCTAAGAGCTTTCTCTCCTTTATAGGATTGCAAAGAGCTATTATCACTAGTTCCGGTCACCTGAAAAACTAAGCTTGTCATACCTGAGGGCTGATGCATACCTCCAGCTCCAAGTCCCAAATGCTTTACAAACACCAAACTTTGAAAATGCATTTGCAGAGCAGCATGATCATCACACCACTATTCTACCTAGGGGATATTTCTCGGTTTGTAGCATATAAAAGGAGCATTTCTCTAACCATGATAAATGGTTATCAAGGCTGAATTATATACTATTTTCAAATGCTGAGACTGGAAGTTTTTGAGACCATCTTGCCAATCTTAGAGGCAGGACACCTCCTGAACTCCCTCTGACAATGTGAGCATGAGAACACTAAGGGTTCTACAGAAATCAGTTTCTGACCTGTTATTGGTCAGTCATCATACATGGGAGCAGGTTCAAGTCAGTGTAGAGCACTTAAATTTTACCAGTCATTTTAAGGTCCACGAAGTCAGACTTAAATATTCTTTTGTATCTGTCAAGAAAAATCATTACGTATACACATAGACCCACTCCTAATATTTGCAGAGCTCAAGGCAAGATTGCAAATAAAAGCTCACATACCATATGTGTAAAAAATTTAAAGTTATAAAGCAGGCTAAAAAACTATTAAATACATGGAAGGAAGGAAAGGAAAGGAAGACAGAAAGGAAGACCAACAAACTGATAAATATAATATACCTTCATTACAACCTAAAATGTCCAGGTTCAAATTTAGAATTCTCGGTTCCACAGAACATGGCTGTACCAGAGAGCTGGTCCCCAACCCCCATCCCTTTTTTCTTCCCACCTCTGTCTCTGTCCTGCATCTTATGGCGTCTCACAGGTATGCATATAGACACCCTTGCTCAACATCCAAATGGTCACTCCTTGTCCCTAGAGGTGCATACTCTAGTGGTGCCACCTGCCCTAAGGAAGACATACCAGGAAAGGGAGCTATGCAGGCTCTGAGAGCAGGATCAAGGCCATCTGAGCAGGGGATTCTGGGGTCCAGGAATTCACAATGTGATTTATCAGGAGAAGGAGTGGTACTCTTGCCCTGGACTCCTCCCCCAGTGGAGAATGAGGGTCTCCAAAATATGAGACACCCCGGCCCAGGTCTAAGAGTGACTCTACATAAACAAGTAGCTTATTTAAGACTAGAAAACCAAATAAAACATTTTCTTATTTTGGCAGTTTAGGTTTCCCATTTGGCATGGTGGTAGATTTACCCTTGGCATTAAAATACCCAGTGTACCTCCAAATCCCCCAGTGGAAACATTATCAGCTGGCTGTGTAGATCATTTGGCTTGGTGCTCTGCTCATTTCCCGTCCTCCAGGCTCAAAGGTGACTTACATCATACACAGTCAATTTTCTAAAGGAAAATAATTTGAATTGTTGTTCTGGGTTCTCCCAGAGCTACAAAAATAATAATTGAATACAGATACAGTAGTTCACCCCTTAGCCATGGAGGATACATTCCAAGTCCCCCAGTGGATGCCTGAAAGCATGGATGGTACCAAACCCTATATATACTATGTTTTTCCTATACATACATACATACCTATGATAAAGTTTAATTTATAAATTAGGCATGGTAAGAGATTAACAAGTATAACTAATTATAGCAGAACAATTATAACAATTACTGTAGTAAAAGTTCTGTGAATGTGGTCACTCTCTCTCAAAATAGCTTTTTGTACTATACTCTAACCTCTTCACTTCAAGAAAGCAACTTATGGCTTCTCTTTGGCATATCGGAATTGCCAGCATCACTACTGCTGCACTGTGGGGCCATTATTAAGTAAAATAAGGGTTCCTTGAACACAACCACTGCAATACCAGGACAGTCCAGCCGATAACCAAGAGGGCTAATAAGTGACTAACTGGCGGGGAGCGTATACAGCATGGAGATTCTGGACAAAGCGATGAGTCATGTCCCAGGCAAATGCACGGGACTCACAAGATTTCATCACACAGCGCAGAATGGCATGAGATTTAAAACCTATGAACTGTTTAGTTCTGGAATTTTCCATTTCAAAGTTTTAGTCTCCAGTTGACCATGGGTAACTGAAACTTCAGAAAGCAAAACCCTGAATCGGGGGGACTACTGTGTATGTAACGGAAACCATTAATACATAGAAGAGCTTTTAATACATTTATGCCACCTTTGCCCCATACAATTTCACAATACTGAATTAGTTTACCTTTTTAAAGAGGAGAAATTTAATGTATTATATTATGACTGTGTAATATATCTGTCAGGGTTCCAACAGGAAAAAGCTGTCACATGAAGATTGAGGAGGATGTATTCACAAAGGGACTACTCATAAGACAAGTGTGGGATAGAGAAGAATAAAAGGGGTAGCATGACCCCATGGTAATGGGGTCAGTAGCAGAAAAACTTTTATTATCCATAAGTCCGAAAAGACAGGGAGGAAATGGTTACCAAAATGTGGAAGTAGAGCCACTCTGAAAGGAGTGGTGACCTTTGGTTGACAGACACAGCCAGCCTGAGACAACCTCACAGGGAGGGCACCAGGTAGGTAAACACTCTGAGCTCACTCTCCTTCCTCTGTCCCCCCAGTCTCCTGCTGGGGTTTTCCATCGTCCAAATCTGTGGCCAGTGAGGAAATCCACTGATGTCCACACAGTCAGCCTCCCTGGGCATGGCGCAGGACAGAGAGACGTGGCAAGTAGATCTGATAGGGCAAATGGAAGATAGCTAGTGTCTAGCTTAACTGAATATTTTCAATGTCTGTACCCAGGAGTCTTCCCCCAAGTGGATACAGATTTGCCAGAGTCAAAAGGAAGACTCTATTTCATTGTGACAATGACTGCATCCAAATTCAGTCCAAAGGCAGGAAGTTGAGTTAGTGGACAGTGGTTCAGGCAACACCAACCTCTCTGCCTATTTCATTGGCTGCCGTTGCTTTCTCAGATCACATGCTCCTTCCTCTGTGGCCCTCAGGCCACACAGGAAAAGACACATGACACAGGAAAGGCAACAGCAGTGAGAGGAGCACTTCATAAGTAGGACAGAAAACCATAGAACTGCTTTGCCCAGATCACTCTGTGCTACCAGAGCCCTGGAAAAGGACCACAAGGAGTGCTCACGAGAGTGGGTGGATGATAAGCTGTAAATGGTCCACAAAAGGACAAAGAGAGGAAAGCCTTATTCCCTCCTTGAGAAACAGGGAACTTCTGAATGTTTGAGACAGGCAGAGAAGTTCTGTTGTTCTCTGTGATGGCCAGCATTTTTTCTATAACCAGAGAATAAAATGAAAGTCATCCATTTAGGGAGAAAAATTAAATGACCAGTCGTTTACCTGTTCGGCTACCTTCTTACAAAGCTTTTTTTTCTCTCTCATTTCTTCTCTGCTTCCCACTGATTCAGATGTGTCTGACACAGGTAATGTTCAGTCGCCCTTTTCAGGGGTCTCGATTGTTTTCTTCACAAAGCGACCCTCCTGGTTGTCCTGCCAGCTCTGCTCCCTGAACACCTGCTTCCAGGTGGGGCAGGCTTGGTGGGTGGGGGAGCCAGAGAAAGGCTCAGAGGCAAAGATCACGCCACCCCTGCCGGGCCTCTTCTGGGCTATTGCACGACGTGCCCCTCCTCCTTCTTCCCTCAGGGTAGCTAGGCTAGTGCAGACTGGTTAAATTGACCCCAGGGAGCGCCTTGGAGCCGAGTAGCAGTCACAACTGAGCTGAGTCCCCCCTTGCTCAATGCTTGCTTTACGCACACCCCAGCCTTGTGTATGATGTCTACAGTGTGGACGGCTCCCAGAAACACAGCCCCACCTGTGACTCCGACTCTGTTCATACAAGTATAACACGCACATGTGCCGTGTTTCATACCATCCTTTTGAAGGATTGCATTTAAAAAAAAAAAAACAACTTTTCTGTCTTTTTCTCCCCATCTTACCTAAATTCCTTTGATTATTGTTTCAGTACAGGCTTAGGCTTTCTGAATGTGCTCTGTAGGCCTCCGTATGTATTGGTTCAATTCATATTGACTTATAACTACATTGAGAAATATAAATTAGGACTTTTTACAAGCTAAGATGTCCAATCCTCTAGAGCAGCGGTTCTCAACCTTTCACAGGGGTCGCCTAAAACCATCGGAAAACACATATTTTCAATGGTCTTAGGAACCGAGACACCGCTCCTCTATCCGTCTCCAGGCCCACATGCAGATTCGCCCACATACGAGTACCCAGCGACCCCTGTGAAAGGGTCCTTCGACCCCCAAAGGGGTCGCGACCCACAGGTTGAGAACCGCTGCTCTAGAGTGAGGAGATGTGTTAAGGTAGGTTTGAGGAGCCCCATAACATCCCTGCTATAAAGGAAACACCACTGCAGTAAACAGAGGGACACTTAGCTGAAGGAGACTGTGGAAGGGTTGGCCAGCCACCCGGATTGTTTGTGAGCTGGTTACTCGTGTCCGTCTTGCTTGCCTTTCTGCAGTATGACCTATGGGTATGGCACGCCCTCCGTGAAAGCACAAGTGATGTGGGTGCCACATTTTAAAGTCAACATTTATTGCGTACCAATTAAGTGCAAAGCACCATTTTTATAAGGTGAAAACGACATCATCTTGGGCCCCAAAGCTTGGGCTACATGGGAATATTTTGTATTATCTCTGACTAAGCCTTCTCACCATATGATTGTGTCATCGGCAGATTTGGGGATTTTCCGGCGGGCTGCTATGGTGCTCTACACAGACTGCATCCAGCAGTGCAGCCGGCCTCTGTATATGGTACGTGCGTGTTTCTGTGTTCCTTGGCCTTCTCCCAGAGAGCAGGGGAACAGCAGGAAGGGCAGGCTCAGGGAAGTCACTCAGGCTCCCCAAATCCATAGGGCCAGATGGCTCAGAGGGGCTGAGGTCCAGTCAGGGGGAAGAAGCAAGTTGCTTATTCTTCTTGTTCATAAAAAGCAATGGGATGGTTCCATTTTTGTACATGAAATATTGCTAGTATTTAAAGAAGAGAAATATATATACAAAATTACTAAACAGTGATCATTGCTACCAGGGAGGATCAAGAGAGAGTGTCCCTGTAAATAACCATCCATAGAGGTGTGATTATTTCACTTGTAAAAGTAAAAAGGGGAGCTACTAATAATTGCACCAGGGTGACAGACATAACCCAAGACTGACTCAAGGAAACTGGGATATGTGGTCATTCTAATGATTTTTATTAGGAACTTAACACTTTCTACGTTGTTCATTTGTTTGATTTTTGTACATTTGTTGATTTTTACAATGAGCAATATTTTTTTCAAAACTGTGATTATATCTTAATGGTTAAAATACAACTTTTAAAAATTCCCCATTATAGTTTTCAGTACATTATACATTTCTACACTGAGCAGAGGAATCAGGGCCCTGGTCATAGCCATGTCTTCACTCACTGGCCAATGACCTTGGGAAAACTACATACCAATCTTTACACAGAGCTGTGGTCAGAACTAGTGAAGCTATTTGGGCCTGACACACAGTTCACTAAGTACCTGCTAATAGTTTATCATCAGAAGGATTTTTACATAAAGGAATATGGGAACGTTTAACCCACTAGAGCTTAATCTTAATGGTTAAAATACAACTTTTAAAAATTCCCCATTATAGTTTTCAGTACATTATACATTTCTACACTGAGCAGAGGAATCAGGGCCCTGGTCATAGCCATGTCTTCACTCACTGGCCAATGACCTTGGGAAAACTACATACCAATCTTTACACAGAGCTGTGGTCAGAACTAGTGAAGCTATTTGGGCCTGACACACAGTTCACTAAGTACCTGCTAATAGTTTATCATCAGAAGGATTTTTACATAAAGGAATATGGGAACGTTTAACCCACTGGAGCTTGGGCAGGACCTGTAGGCACTAAAAATTGAGGGAACCGAGGCTGGAGGGGTTTTTTATGTTTCTTTCCTCCTTTCCAGGACAGAATGGTGTTGCTCATCGTGGGGAATCTGGTTAACTGGTCTTTGTAAGTAATCTTCGGAAAACACATTTTTCTCCTTATTAATGTTTGTAACCCTGTAGTTTAGCTTTTTTTGGCTGTCATTCTTATAAAGAAATCTAAAATCAAGGAGAGCATAGGGTTGTGCTTGCCCTAGAGACATGAAAGAAAGGCATTTTTTTCTCCTGCAAAGAATGCTCTAGAAAGCTCTTGTGTGCCAATAATGGCCTCTCTTAAAGCATTGAGTTCAGTGCATTAATGCATTGAGTTCATTAGCTCAACAAGATAAACATCAAATTTGTTAACATCTATTTGGATAGATTAGATAGATAGATGATAGATAGATAGATAGATATTATAAATAGATAAATTATGCCAGTAGTTACAAAAAGGCATCATAGTTTTAGGGGTTTTTTGGATTGATTGATTGATTGATTGATTGATTGATTGATTTTTGGGTAGAACTTTCCATAAAGGCTACCCAGCAGGCATTTCTCTTAGTCATTTCTCTTAGTGTGTGTGTGTGTGTGTGTGTGTGTGTGTGTGTGTGTCCTATTTATTTCTTTCCCTCTACGTCTAATTCTTCTTACTCCACCTATATCATTCATCTTCCTTTTTTCCCCCTCATTATCACCTTGTCCTTTTTTCCTCAAATGGCCTCAAAATAGAACAGTACAACAGATGTATATTTTTGCTAGCTGTAATTATTTTATGCCACCTATTCTCAACTTAAAAATGTGTCTCTCAAAAATAAATAAGATTCGCTGCTTTTATTAGTGGTTCTTGGTTGATGCATTCACCTGGGTCAGTCACCTTTGATAGGAAGACGACTCTGTATTCATGTTGCCCTTTAAGACATGAAGATGAAGGATACCTTCAGAGTAAGCCAGGATCTAGTCATGAAAATTTGAATCATATTTGGGTGCCATATGCTTCTGGAAGAAACTCTCCATAATGTTATCACCCCAGGGATCACCTTGGGGTAAGAGCCATACCTATGAAGGACCCCTTCTTTACGTGAGACAAGTCGAGATGGGTGATTTTTGGCAGCGGTCACCTGCGGTGCTCTTTTGGACCACCCACCCTTTTAGGGCAAACCCCACAGTCCTGATGACTCTGTAGGACAGGGTAATAAGCTTCAGTATTAATTTAAAAACCATAGACAGCTAATCAAAATTTGATACTGTGAGTCAAACCAATCATTGAGATATTTCTACTTCCAGTAATGCAGTCTAATGAATTAATCTTAAATGAAAAGAAAAAAGCACAATATGTCTGAAGGTATTCATTTATTCATTGCAGTGTTCTTTGTAATAGATCTGATTAGGGCAAAGGGAAAACTATTTCAACCAGAGAGCAAAGGTGATTCTTTATGGCACATTCACTTACGGGAACCTTACAATCACTAAAAATGAATGTTCTGAAGGAGATGTAATAAATCTAAAGTTACTTATAATATATTAAAGTGGATTTAAAAAAAATTCCCCTCCTTGCCAAGATGGGAGTGGGAAAGTGAAAACGCCACAAATGTTACCAATCCCTCTTCATGGCTGCAAAATAATTCCTCCCCATGTGCTCAGCGCCCTCTTTGGACTCATCTACCGACCCAGGGACTTTGCTTCCTACATGCTGGGCATCTTCATCTGTAACCTGCTGCTCTACCTGGCCTTCTACATCATCATGAAGGTAAGTAAGCATGGTCCCGGGAGCCTCAGCGCCTCGCCCTCTGCAGGCCAGGCGGTGCAGGCGGTGCAGGAGGCCTCTGATTCTTACCCACAGCTTCGCAGCTCCGAGAAGGTCCTCCCCATGCCACTCTTCTGTATCGTCGCCACCGTTGTGGTGTGGGCTGCCGCCCTCTATTTCTTCTTCCAGAATCTCAGCAGCTGGGAGGTAGGAGGACAGTTTTCTTTTCCAAGATGTTCTCTCTCCATCTTACCTTTTGACTGCCCTGCCTCCCTCTCTTCATGTGCTTGTTGCTGTTTATCTTTTTTATATTCTCTAAAATGAAAGGTTCCTTCAAAAGCTTTAATACCCACACGTAAATGCTCAATGAATGGCATGCTGTCATCATTATCAAGGTAGCACTCATAAATGTATAAGTCCTACAGACTCTGCAAATTTGATCTTCACTAGGCATTGTGTTATGATCCTGTTCCCAAAGGATGTTTAACATGTGCAAAAACATTGATTAGCGTATCTTCTCCACCTATCTTATAATCATCATCCATAAACAAATATCCAGGTGCAGGTGTTTATAAGTCCATTTCGTAGATTGGAAAGCTGAAGCCTAAGAAATTAGTGATACAGCTGAAACAAGAACACGGAGGCCTCTGTTCTCCATCTCCACAATCACCACAGTCAACTTTAGAACATTTTTATCCCCGCTAAAGTAACTCCCCATTTCTCCCTGACCCCTTAGCCCTGGGCAACCACGAGTCTATCTTTTGTCTCTATGGATCTGTCTATTCTGGGCCTTTCATATAAACGAAGTCATATACTCTATGGCCTTTGAGTCTGGCTTCCTTCACTAAACATAATGTTTCCTAGACTCATCCATGTTGTAGCACATATCAGTACTTCATGTCTTTTTATTGCTGAATAATATTCCATTGTATAGATAACGCTACATTTTATCTACCCATTCATCTATATAGATGGACATTTGGGTTGGTTCCACTTTGGGGCTCTTATGAATGATGCTGTTGTGAACATTTGTGTACAAGGTTTTGTATGAACATGTGTTTTCTTGGAAAGCTGACTTTTTGAGCCAGGCATCTAGTAGCATTTTTATAACTTTCTGGATGCTCAGCCCTCTAAACATTTGCACTGTGGGAATGTTTGCCCACATCCTGCCTCACCTTCCTCCAGGGAACCCCAGCTGAATCCCGGGAGAAGAACCGGGAGTGTATCCTGCTGGATTTCTTTGATGACCATGACATCTGGCACTTCCTTTCAGCCACTGCCATGTTTTTCTCATTCTTGGTGAGTTTATAATATCTTTTTGTTAATTTTTTTCTCTCTTTACATCTTGTACTCTTTTTTTCTCTTTCCTTCTTCCTTATACCCTCTTTTGTATTCCTCTCTAATTTACCTTTCCTATTCTTCATTGTAATTCAATGTACAGGTTCTCTGTTTTTTTACATTGTATCCTTTGATTAGATCTTTATTTTCATTTTCCTTTACTCTTCAATATTTTAAGACACAGAGTGACATAATGATTTTCCATAAGCTGCAAACATTTGGGCTGAATTGGTTGTTAGAACTCACATGCCCAGAATCCCCTCAGGAATCGCTTTTAGCATCCACTAAAATTTCAATAACATTAGGTTGTTCCTTTTTCTGTTATATTCACATTCCTCCTCCTCTTCCAGTCTTAAAAATAATTTATTTTTTATAACCTAATTTATTATCTTACAAATAATTTACAAATTCCTGAGATGGCTTGGGATAGCATCCAGGCCTCTGTTGCCTTCCAACCATTCGGTTCCAAATCTCTCCTGTAGTCCCTCCATTTCTTAACCCAATTTCCCAGAAGCAAGGAGTATTATAAGCCTTCAATGATAAAGCCTCGTGTCCTTTCATCTTAAGTTCCACTTTTCCAAATTAAAAGTCCATGGTACCTGTACATGCTCAGTTGACAAATAGCACAGCAAGGCCTCCAGGGCTCCCAGTACTGACCCCAACACTGCCCCCAGTTTCTGCCACCTTATAACCACAAGAATGGAGCCACGCTGCCGCCTGGTGGCCATTTGGGGAAGTTTAACCAACCTGTATAAATATTCCTTAAGGCTTTTTATTTTTTATGGTCACCTTCATTAGAGAGAAAGCAAAAGTGAAGAAAAGGGTTCCATGTAGAGAGGGTGGTTGTGGAGGGACCAAAAAATGGGGGAGGATAGCAACACTCTATGCAACAAGACTTCATTTCCCTTTAGGCTTTGACCTGAATGTTCCCTTCTAAGTAATGATTCCCCAGCCACTCTATCAACATTTTTTTTTTACCTCTCCCCACCCCATATTGCCTATGTTCCCTCCATAGTTTAGGTTTTCTTCTTAGCACATATTTCTATCTAACATACTATATTTTAATCATGCATTTGCTTCATGTCTGAAGCCCTCTCTCGAATGTGAGCTCCGGAAACAGAGAGGCTTTTGTCTCTTTCATTCCAAGCCGTATGTCCAGCACCTAGAATAGCACCTAGTAGACTCTTGATAAATATTTGAATTAATTAATACATGAACTACGTGATTTAATAAGTGCCTGTAAGAACATGGCATTGCAAAAAGCTGCAAAAGGCATAAAAACAAGTAAGGGCACTTGTAATTTCAGTTTTCACAAGTCTTAGCGAGAAAGTGGGGGCTCACTGTGGCTGTGACTGTGCATTCCTCTCATTTCTCTGCCCCTCTCCTTTCAGGTTTTGTTAACCCTGGATGATGACCTGGACGTGGTTCGGAGGGACCAGATCCCTGTCTTCTGAACCTCCAGCGTTACGAGAGGGGGGAAAGGTAGCCACCGAGCTTGGTGCTGTTTCATGAAAAATATAGGGACTGCAGCAAAGTAACCACTGCCAAACACTCCACTCACCTTCCGTGGAGTCAACTTATCATACATTCACCCAGGGAAGAGATGAGCGAGGGGAGATTCAAACCTGCAAGATGGGACACAGAAGGGAAGTCATGGCTGTGGACAGAGGCAAGCCCTGAAGAGCCGAGAAACACCCATCCCTTTATACTGCACCTCTGAGCTAGACATGGACAAACTGCATCAAAGACAACTCGCTACCTTGGGACTCCTCCCACCCTCAGCCGGAACTTGACAGCAATGGCAGAATTATACTTAACTCTTCCCTCCAGCTGCCTCTGTGCCCAAAAAGGCCAGCAGCTTGGATTTCCTGCCCAGAAACATTAGGTGGGCCCCTTGGCACCTCTGCAACATCTGCTGCTCTAGATATCTCAAAGCACCAGCTTGCTTCTCCAGGGCCCTGGGATGATGTGGTTCCTCAGGGTCTGGTAGAGGGGTGGACCCGACGCCCTACCAAACTCGGATAGATGTTTTAGCAGCACCAGCTGGTCACCTCCTCGGAAAGAAGGCTATGTGTTTCCCCAGGTTCCTGACCCCCTTAGAAAGACTCTGGGCCTTGTCACACACTCCTCCTAACAGGTAACTAACTCTCTGGGACCAAGGTTTGGGTGCTTACCTAGTCCTTAGTGTCTTGATCTCACTGCTGTGTGTTGACCCCATAACTCAGGCTCTCCCTTCTTGAGATGGCCCTGTTACTCCACAGATCAGCTCCAAGGTGGAAGACGAAATGGGAGAACTTTTCTAGCAGCAGGAGGAGCAAGAGAAATGACTGACAGTGCTAAGACAGTGTTAACATCAGCATCAAGCAAACAGGCCTTACCCTATGGACTTGGGCTCCTGGAGCAAGTTCAGCAAAGACAAAAGTGCTTCCTGAGGCCTCCTAATTCAAACAGCTCAATTCTGTGTCCACATCACTTCTGGAGAAGAAACAAGTGTTTAACCAGGGGCACTGCTGTAGGGGTCCTCTACCACCGACCAAAACCCTTATCTGTCACTTTATGCAGATCAGGGCCTCCAGGCTTTCTCCCTGAAGTTCTTTAGAAGTAACTCTCAGGGTGAATGCATTTTACTCTCTTTAGTTGCAAAAAGCACAGCCGATTTAGGGTTGTCTAGGTTGCACCTGATTCTTATTCTCTCCCCAGTAAGATGTTGAAAGTTCAGCACCCCACTTCCCTCTCATGCTGTCTGGCAGCTCTGCCCCTAAGAGTCCTGTTTTGACCAGGTTTCCTTGTTACCTGGAGTGTGATGTAATGAGAAATATGCATTTGGGTTGGCCGAATGGCTCAGTTGGTTAAGAGCGTGAGCTCTGAGCAACAGGGTCGCTGGTTTGATTCCCACATGGGCCAGTGAGCTGCACCTGAGCTGAGCTGCCACTAAGCTGCCAACAGGTGGCAGGGTGACTCAGCTGGTGAGAGCACGTGCTCCTAACAACAAGGTTGCCGTTCGACTCCCGCATGGGATGGCGGGCTATGCCGCCCCCCCACCCCCACCCCGCGCAACTAAGATGGAACACGGCACCTTGAGCTGAGCGGCTGAGAGCTGCCGACGGGTGGCTGGATGGCAACTGGACTTGGAGCTGAGCTGGCTGCGCCCTCCACAACTGAGATTGAAGGACAACAACTTGGCTGTTCCCCTCCCCCAATAAAAATCTAAAAAAGAAAAGAAAAGAAATATGCGTATAGATGTACACACATAGACACATCTCCTGTGAAACTGAAGTCACCTTTCACCTCTGCTTTCCTGATCATTCATTAGAGAAATGGATCAGCCATTCCTTTATATATATATATATATATATATATATATATATGATAATATAACTATTATCCTTTCTCTAAAATATATGCATAATGCTCAAAAACACATTTTGAAAATTTAAATAACAAACGTTCCCTGATTTTAAAAGCACAAAGATGCTCTTAATGAAATATTTTGAGATTTTTTTTTTTTCTAAAATGCTCCTAATTTGTAACTGGTCTTTATTCCTTACAAATTCTTTGCCTTCATAGGCCATAGGAAGATCACCTATTAGGTAGTTGTGTTAGTCTAACATCTAACACAAATTTCAAATTTGTTTAACTATGGCTGATTTGACCTAATTATTGTATTTTAGTGCACTGATGGTTTCAAATCTGAAAAAAGACCCACTAAAGAATGTGAGCAGAGTCTGTTCTAGTAGCCCTGTGGCCTGAAGTGAATAAACTGTAAGACACATTACCTGTTCTGTAGTTTGTTTGAAAATGGGGAGGAGCCTGGTAGAAATAGATGGATTGTGCTGCTGTGTTCTTGACTGATTTCTGACGTCTGTCTTATGCTATAAACTCACATATTGTGGTCAGTTTTGTTCTCTGCAGCAGGACTAAAAACCCAGACCAAGCGTGCTCTTATAAATATCAACTCTAAATGTACTTGTTGCTCACTTTTTCTGCTGATCTCGTGGTTGGAGGGCTCAAAAAAATGGTTTGACAGCATCTGTAGGGTTGATAGGGATGAGAGGTGGAGAGGGGCAACCAAAGTTTTTTGTAACTGAACAGTCCCTCTTCCACATACAGGACCATACCTGTGTGACTTTTGCCTGTGTTCATGGAATTCACGCTTTAGAAGAGAAGGCAAGGTAATTCTGGAAGTCGAGTTCAGCAGGAGGGTAACGAGAAAAACAGCCACTGTGAAAGGCTCTTGGCAGAGCAGGCACAGAAGTAATAAGAGCAGTTCAGCTGGAGCAGGACAAAGATGTGGCAGCCAAAGGGGCAAAACAGTGCACATAAAAAAGTGACCTCTTCACACCTCTGACGAATGGGGAGGCAACCCCACCTGTTGATGCTGGATGGTTGAGGGATTAGCCCAGTTTTATTTTAGCCGCAAAGCCATTGGAAAAGCGAAGTCTATCTGGGGAAGGGACTTTCCATGACTGAGGAGATCACTGAGACAGCTTCAGGACCTAAGAAAGTGGCAGCTGCTTCCTTTGTAGCTCTGAATAGTCATCAGAAAGTTCTGTAGGGCCGCAGAATGTGTGGGTAAACGAAACGTTTCTCATCCTGGGAGATAGCCTCTCTATGTAAAACTTGGGGGAAAAGGAGACACTAAGATAAACATTCTTCATAGAAGGAACAGTAGAGTGGAAGAAGGATTCTTGTTAGACTTTAGTCCAAATATGCTCGCTGTGTGATCTTGGGCAAGTCGCTGGATCTCTCTGATCCTCACCTACACCCTTTACATCACAGGACCCGAAGGGTGACAAAGGTGGAGGTGTGCAGAGCAGCAGGAACAGTGCTGGCACAGAGAGGATCCTCACCCCTCACCCCTTGAATCCCACAGGGAGGCAGGGCAAGAGCAGATCTGTCCACTGGGCTGGCACCTCCCTCCTCCATAAAACCGGCTGCTCAATTTCCTGTCCTCAGTTCCAGGAGGCCCTGAAGGGGTTGGGAGGCCATCTCACCTTCAGAGATACTGCCCAGAGCTACCAAACCTCCCAGCCCCAGCTCCCGCATTGCCCCTTATTGCTGCATTTCACTTCCTCTGGTCCATAATACTCCTATTCCACCTCAAAAGAAAAATTGTTACCACAGCTAGGGCCAAGTGGAAAGTCTGGCTATGTATAATGTCCCACCTCATTACTGCCTTCTCGGCCCTAGGGATCTCATAGTAAACCTAGATGTTCTCCTCTCTCGAGTAGCTATCACTTCCAGGGTTCAGGGAGTGCTGTATACAAATGTTTCCCCCATCCTACCCGCCTTTATCACCAAATGTTCTGTAGGGAAAGGCTGGGTGTTCAGCCTGTATGAAGAAGGGCTTCAGCCTGCTGTGACAAAGCAGGTCCCAGAAAGAGGAAGCATGGGAGGGTCACTCAGGTTTTGAAATGACTCTAATGTCCCTTCCTGAAACTAAGGAAAAGCATTATGAGTAAGATACCACTTGCCTCTGCCTGAAGCAATGTAAAACCCCTGCTTACCACAATTCTGCCCAGCTAAAAGTAATTCTTGTGTTTTTAATGCTGCTTGGTGGAGACAAGATATACCTGTGTGGTTGACTTTTAAGATCTCCTCACTCTTAATGCACCACTGTCAGCAAGATTAATTAAGTGCCTGCTAAATCTTAGGCCTTAACACACATGAATTCAAAAAAGCTTGGCAAGAGTCACAGATCAGCCTTCACTACTGAGTTTCTAAAGGCCATAGTAATAGAGCTTTCCTCTGGACACGACTCCTCTGCAAAGACACCCTTACTCTGTGAGTTCCAGAGGGTAGTTGGGAGTTCATTGCCTGGGTTTCCTGAGGTGTGTGTGGTCTTGCTATTCTTATTTAAATACAAAGAAGACTAAGTGGTTCCCATCAGTCACATAGAATTACCCTTTGCTCCCTCAAATCTTAGGGAAATGGAGCTCTGCCTTCTTCTTAAATATTTCTAAATTAGGAGATTTTATAATTTCCCCAAAACTCTCAATTTAAAAAAATTCCTTGGCGCTACCTTACATTCTTTTTACCACTTTGAATCCCCTGTCATCTAAGACATTCATTTCACTGGAGGCGAACAATTGCTCATCACCATATTTTAACACAGAATAACCTTGAAGTCATATCACATTTCAGTCAAGCGCTAAATAAAGTCTGGGTGTCCCAGCACTATAGCTAGGATTTAGAAATCAAGAGGTTTAAACAGTGAAAGATTTGGAAGTAAGCTAACAGACAATCCCACATGGCTATCTCCTGGGCCCCTAATTTCCTCTAGCTTTTGACATTCTTCGTGAATTAAGACTATAAACCCTTTACAAGGAAGATAATTCAAAAATAATTTAAAAGCTCTCTATTTTAGGATGCTATAATATTGCAATCAGAGAAAACAAGTTGATTTGCATTTTATGATTTTATTACGCTGCTTCTCTGAGCATTTCACAAGGCTCAATACAGGTTCTAGACAGGCCCCTTTCAAGGAAGAGGACAGATTCAGGTTTGAGATTTACTCTGCTGCTCCCTTAACATGGGACATCTTGTAAAGTAAGCAGCCTTTTAGGGGGCCTATTTCCCCTTTATCCTCTCCTCCCTCACCACTTCTCTGTTCAGTTACATAGAATCAAAAATACTGCTTCAGTCAACAGCCAACCAAGAAATATTTAGGCAGGCCCTGTAAGGAGCTGGGGAAAACATACACGGCTTCTTCCATCACGGGGTCTATGGTCCAAAAGGGAAGATGTACATGAAACGAATCGTTACAACTTGTTAATGATAAGTGGGCAAAGAGCTCTGAGTAGAGAATGGCCTTGAAGAAGGCCAACCGGTTCCATCTCCCCCAAACACCCCCACCCTGAAGTTGGTATTATTACTATTATCCCCATTTCCCACATGGAGAAACTGAAACTTAGATGTATTTACTAGATGACGCGAATGGTGCGGAAACCTGGATCATAGTCAGAAATGAGTAGTTTAGGTAACAAAACCAGAGAAAGGGAGACAGATCGTGGTACAGTGGATTCAACTTTTATTTGTGCATGTATCCATACATGCAAAAAACTCAGCCTAGAATTATATAACTATTGAACGTATTAACAAAAAGGAGAAGGTTTTTCCAAAATTCAGAAGACACGTGTCTGTTATAAAAGCCCGAGTGAAATGAAACCTACCATGCTTTAGGAAAGACAACCAATAAAACTGTGGCTTTGGATCATTTTTGGCTCTCTAAACTGGAAAAGCTGGATTCATATGAGGACTGCTGTTTCCATTTCTAAGCTTGTATAGTTAAGAACCAAAGTCCTTTTTATAAATTCAGTGATTGCATTTGGCAAAGGGCTATAGACCCAAAGATCCGTTTTAAATTAAAATACATGTTACATAAGGTGTCAAGTTTCCACTGGGAGCCTGCTGGTTCAGAAACAAAATTAACAATGGAGAGAAAGCATAGGAATGCAGTAGGGGTTTTTTTTTATTTCCTAGAAAACGTTCAGAGACAAAAAACTGTCAAGAGTCAAAAAGTTCTCCAAAGCTGCCTCTAAATCTAATCCATGCTGGTCCAGTAGATCAGGTAGAATCTACGACTCCCATGGATGGCTGAACCATCTTTGTTTTGGGGGCCTGGGCCCAGGCCACCTCTCCTAGAAGGGAGTGGTTTTATCCACCAAACTGAGGCAGAAGAACTAGCAGGCAGTGGGAAATCATGATTGTTCATTTGGGGTACAATGATAATGGTAATAAATCTGACGACTACTGATATTGAGAACCTTTTCATAGACTTCTTGGCCATTTGTATGAAAAATGTTTTCAAGTTCTTTGCCCATTTTTAAAATCAGCTTATGAGTCTTTTTCTTTTTGAGATGTATAATCTTTGCCAGTCTGTGACTTGATGAAGAGAAATTCTTAA